CATTGTTCATTGGTAAGTGTCGGGGGGCGGATGGGCGATTGAAAGAGAGATTACTAACATCGTCGTCGTCGTTAGCCTCGTTGTAGTTGTCGTTGGGCGTCAACTTCCTTATCAGCCATGCAACAACAATGCGAGTAACTGTAACTAAAAACAATGAGAAACTTGAAGATAAATATAACAGCAGCAATTACGGCATTAACAGTCGAACAATAACAGCAATTGAGGCTGAAATAATGGTGAAGCTCTTTCATGGCTATGGTGGAGATTGTCAATGTAGCCAGAAAAAAAATTTTATCCTCAAAACAATGAAACTAAAATACTTATAATATGATTGTATTATTTTTTTTTAATAATAATATTTTTACGCCAACACTTTTGTTAAAACTTTTTTCAAGGAAGTAATACCCCCGGTGGCTTGCGAGGCGACCGCTTTTATTAGAAAAAATATTTTATGATTTAGATGTTGCTCGGACCAGGGGTCGAATCCAGTTTCCGCGGACATCTACCCACTCAGACACATATATTTAATATGATTTTTCTATTTATAAAGAGGAAATATGTACATATTTGGCGCTTGACCATATTTTAAGGTGCTTGGTTAGGCTTATCCTCCAGTTTGTGGTATGCGCATTGATATTGTCACACAAATGGTGGATGCTTGGAGAAGCTTATTCATGGCAGAAACATACTCGGAGGTTTGTCATTGTTTGCCGAGAGGAAACGCTATTAGAAAAAGCTACGATATTTCTGGTTATAGCGATCGAACGCTGGATCTACCAAGTGAAAGTGTGTACCTTTAAACAATCGTTTCCTTAAAGCCTAGGCGAGATACGACCCCTGTACGTCGAAAATAAAACCATAATTCGTATGAAAATAAAAGCTTAACAGATGCCAAAATTTATAAAAAGTGTTTAAAATAACAAAAAAGTACGAAATGAGCCCTGAAAATAGCCGTCACCTAAATTATTAGAAGTTGTAAAAGTGAAAACTTAGGAGTTAAATTAATTTCGAGGTTTTTTTAGAACCTACTACATTCCTTTTGTGCGCTACACTCTTTTGTAGTGAATCAAACATCATGCATGCAACAACTCTTATGCATAATATGGTCAGATGTACGCATGCCCGACGACTGAAATTTAAGTGTGCTCTGTCCAATCCACAAAAAAGGCGAACCCGCCATTCGCGCCAACTTCCGCAGGATCAGCCTTATAAGCATAAGTTCCAAGTGCACAATACTTTACAAGGTCGTATGCCGACGGCATCGACACTTGGCTCCCATATATTTATTTATTTAAATAGTGTGTTAGTCCTAACAGAGCGAAGCTAAACTTTATAATTATTGACAGATACAAGTTTGAAAAAGCAGACGAATTCCAACGGAGAATCACGCTTGCCAAAAACTGCTACTTTGGACTGAGTAGGCAATTGAGAAGTGAAGTCCTCTCTCGCCGTACAAAAGTCACACTCTATAATGACCCCGTCAGAGTGGGAACTTTGCGTACATTCCGCTCAAGGACAGTTGAGTATACTGTGTGTCTTTGCATAGAGAGCGTCAGATTGGCAACCCTCGCTTCGACGGACCCAATGAACATTGGTCAACAATCAACTTTTGACGCACGTAAGTCCGTGACAGATTTACAGGCCTTTGTGCATTGGTGATGGCGAATACCGCAGACGATGAGTTAAATGAGCTTTACAACGTTAAATACATAGTGCAGCGAATTAAAATCCAGCAGCTATGCTGGCCGGGTCATATCGTTCGAATTGACAGAAGCTCTCCAGCTCTGCAAGTATTCAATGCGGGTCGCGATGCTGGTAACAGAGGAAGAGGAAGGCGTCCTCTGCATTGGATAGAACAGGTGGACAAGGACTTGGCTTCACTCAGCGTTTCCAACTGACGTCAGTTGGCACAGAAGAGAAACGAGTGGCGTGCTGTTTTGGACTCGGAACCTCGCTTGCCCGTGCAGTTCGTCATTCCCTTCTTTTTAAAGTCATTGTTCATAATGTCTAAACTTAAAATAATTACGTAAAATAACTCTGCCACATTCTACAGAATTCAATTCTAAGTTTAAAAAAAATGTTTTTCTATTGCAAGGGAAATAATTTGAAAACTTGTTGAAAAGTATGATCGACTTTCATATATATGATCTTAGGGGTCAAATAGGCCCTAAATATGTATGATGTTATCTGAACGTAGAATTTTCCATTCTTTCTGAATTTGTAATAAAAAATTGGGGGTACCTGTTAAAAGAAAACATGTTGGCCTTGGGATGACCTTGATATTGACCCCACTGTCCTTTTCTCATTCAGCATTGGAAAGCTTGATTTTTTTAATAAATTGTGCATGTATTTTTTAAGTTAAAAGAAAAGTTGGCAGGGGTAGTAATGTCCAAAAATACCACAAATGCATATGTATGCATATTTAAATAACTTAAATATTTTTAATTATTTAACTAAATACCTCTCAATTTATATACAAACGCAGTTTCATATTTCATATTTTCATCTTTATTCCGTCTATGATTTACAATCTTACAGACTAGAAGTAGGCTTAAAAGTATTAACGGTGACTAGTATATGTACAATTACGAAAATAGGTTTCAAGAGATGATTTAAAAACACTTCTTGGAAACGAAAAGTCGATATCTAAGCTCTTTGATATATTGTTAAATTCTACAAGGCCTGGAAAAATAGGCGCAAAAGATGAGTAGTTAGTCTTAACGGCAGGAACGTAAAAGGGGACGTGAGAGCGAAGAGTTCTGAGATGCACATTAAAGGTAACCTGCTCAAGAAGAGATGGGCAGTCAATGGAGCCAGAGATAAGATCGAAGACGAATAAGAGTAATTGGGTACGCCTTCTATTTTCCAATGATAGCAAATTTATTAGTTTACACCGGGAGTAATATGAGGGAATCGGATC